CATTGGGGCACAGGCTTTATTCCTCTCTTAGATGATACAACACCAAGAAAACTCGAACTTGCTTTCCGGATAACCAGCCTTCTCCACCCTGGGCAGGATGGGCAACAATTACTCAAGAATAAAGTTTCATGGTTCAGTTCTTATTTTCATAAAGGGATGCTTAGGAAGAGGCATTAGACTTTATCAAGAATGCAAAAGTTCAAACAAAACGGTCCGTAAAAATTATTTATCCGAAGGAACATCTTGCCTTTTCAGGAGAAAATCACTTTTCTGACTTCTGAAAGTAGCAAATTTTGAAAATTATATTCACATGGAAACGGCTTCAAAATAAGTTTACCTCTCTGGGGTTGATGGCCCCCCCTGCCCCACTCCATTCTAAGTGCCTTTTTTTTTTTTCTTTACAAGTCTGTATTATGTTTCTTCAGGCCGCACCAACTATTTATTTATCTTTATTCTTTCTCTCTTTCTTTTCATTCATTATTCTCTCTCCCTCTCTTTTTTCCCCCTTCCTTGTGTGTGTGGCTTCTCGGTCTGATCTGTAGCTTGTTACCACCCACTGCACGCTCTCTCCTGCAGCCGAGGTGTTTCTATACAAACTTCAGCGTCCAGTTGTCATATTAATTATTACACTGAGTAATGACTGAAATAGTCAAAATAAGGGGAGACTCAAGAGAGCTTTTTCTTGCTGCTCAAAGATTCAGCAAAGAAGCCTTGCAACAAAGCACTAATTGGTCCCCAGAAATACTCTGACAAGGCATGGAAGATAGGTTTCATAAAGCCCAGCAATTGTGAAGGGGGAAAAGATCCTTGAATAGACCCCACGCTTCTTTTCTAAACTCTCTTGCTGAGCAAAAAATGGACTGCTTCTTGAATACTGGACTGATCTTGAATGCTATACCCAGCAGAGAAAAAAATGCACCATTTATTGTAAGTTTTTTTTTCCAGCTATTCATGTGTTCTATGTGGAGAATAAGCTGGTTTTGTTTACCATGAAAGACCTTTTACTTTATTTTCACTCTTGGGGGGGAAGCTGGAAAGGCGAGGGGGAGGGCGAGGGGAGGGAGAGAAACACATGTGCCCAAATCCAGACGAGCTGCCTACTGTAACAAAATGGAGTGTAACAAATCCTACAGAAGTCCCGAATGTATCAATTCTTTGAAGATCTATATAGATTAACGACTTTCGTTCTGCTTTTCCAAGACAGCATTTAATCATAACGTAAATGGCCTTTAAAACAGAAAAGAAGTGTCTAGGAAAAAAAAAAAAAAAAGCATACCAGAGTTTGTTTTTTTTTAAAAAAAAAAAAAAAGCAAGGACTTCAAAAGATCTCATGAGTGTGGCTACAATTTAAGCACACAAAATGTCACTAGAAAACAACGACAGTTCAAGATTAATAAATAAATAAATAAGTCAGAAATAAAAGTGGCAAATGAAAAGAGCAAGGACAATTTATCATTATATTAGAATTAAGAAATTTAAGGCGCAGGTGCAGGACTGTGCATAGGAGTGTGTGAAGGCAGGGGACCTTGGAATGATATTTATTATCTAGGAATCTGGTCCCTTACTCTATGCAGTGAGCACAGCCCCAGAGCCCTTACTCTGTGCAGTGAGCACCCAGAGGAGCTGCTGAGATTGGAATTACCTCAGACGTGATGGGTGAGTTTGTTTCCCACTGGCAGTGGGAAGAAAGAGACAAGGGAGGAAAAGGCTCTGACCCCCTCATCCATCCCCCCACACAAACACATACCATGACCCAGGGTAGCCAAATGGCCACAGGGCCACAGAGGCACATTTATGTGAGTTACACTCGGTGACCTCTGGGACTCACAGGCTTTGCCTTTTTAAGAGCCCTCTGAAACCAGAGAAGAAGGGACCCAGAAACTCCAATCTCATTCTGCCTCTTCCAGGAAAAAGGGCAGGAATGTCCCTATACGGTGTTTCTATACCAGTTCTGGAAGTGGGCTGCTCCAAGAAGAATTACTCTGTTAAAAAAAAAAAAAAAAAAAAAAATATATATATATATATATATAGTTTACAGGGCTGCAATTACTTTGATATTTCTTTTTGCGCTTCCCAAAGTCACAATGCAGAGCTGGTGATGCAAGAACTGCTTCCAGTGCAGTCTGTTCTGACATCAGACAAGGGATGTTGAAAAAACCATCCAGGAGACCTGGTACTGAACATGGAGAGTTCCCCAAACAGGAAGTACAAGCAAACATTTTATCCTGCTAGGGTCTGGCTGTTGTGCCCAGGAGTGGATAAAATAAGTTAAAACATTTCCCATGTGATTTCTCCCTTCCCAGTAGGCTAGAAGTCAGAAACAGGTCAGCGATCAGTGAAGAGGCCCCAGAATAAATATGACCACACGGAACTACTTCACATTTTTCATCACACGCACCTTTAAAGCTGACATGTTAAAAAATCATAAAAATTCTAGCTAGCAGGTGCACATTGAGGCTCTCCTGTCCTATGTTTCTGATTAGCACTTCTTAAATTCACACACACAGCCAGGGTCAGAGATCCAGGGGCAGATGAGAAGTGATTTCTGCAGCTCCAGGCTGCTGTAATCGAGGTCAACAACAGCACAGGGATTACTTTTGCAGTCATTTCCACTGAAACTTTAACATGGACTGTGCAGGTCCCCTCCTTCCATGCTTTGGAAGCTTTTGGAGCTGGTACTCATATAAGGGATTAAAGCCACCTGCCAGGGACTTTCTAGGGACATATCACCATGGCAAGGTTGTGGTACCATGGCTGTGCTCTTTTTAGTGGGTTAGAGAGCACACACATCTGAGTTTACAGGGGGGAAAGGTGCAGAGAGAAGTGGAAATGAGACAGAGTAGAAGGCAGAAAATGTGCTAAAGATTTCAGAAATACATGGATCTCTGAAAGGCAGGAGGACAGGGACAGAATGCCCTGATCAGCATTCTCCCAGTGCTGAGCCTGTCCATGACTCCCCAGGCTGCCTTCACCCTTGCAGCCCCAAGGGTCAGTGTGACCCCAAGGCACACCAGCCTCAAACTCTCAGCACCTCAGTGCTCCTTTTCCTCATTTGGTCCTGAACCACAAGTGAGACTTCACCTGGGAGCAGTGATAATTTCCCCTGAAAAATAGTCCACGTCTATCCTGACTCCCCAGTTACAGGCCAATGTCATTGCTTGCTTGGAAAGCCGGTGACATACTTTCACTTTGCAGGGTGCTGCAGGAGGAGCAGGGGGTCTGTGGCTTCCCCGGGCCCAGCAAGCAGACTGTGTGACCTGGGAAATGGGATCTGGCAGTGAACGGCGGGCTGACCCCACACCTGCCAACTGTGCCCGAAACACCCTTACTTTATGAGGCAAGCCTCCTCCCTCCCCGTGCTGGACCGTGCGCGTGGGACGTGCCCAAGAGCGGCTTGTCCTTTCTCTCCTGACAGGCTCACCCTGTGGTGCTCAACATTCCAGAAGGGTAATTCGAGGTGACTTCTCCCGAGAAGCCTCTACCCTGCTCTGCTCTCAGCTGCCCTCCTCCTATCACCCAGCGGGCCTCCCCCGCCGTTGTCGCTGGCTAATAGAGCCATCAGCCCGTCCGGGGCGTGCGCGGCGCCGGGCACACGCGGCTCCGGCCGCTGGAAGCGGGCGGAGACGACAGCCTCCGGCGGTGGGGCTCGGACACTCACGGAGTTCAGCCTGGCAGCACTCGGTGAGCGAAGGGAGCGATACCAGGCATCCCGGTGCTCTCTAGGGACAAGGAGGAGCCGATGTCCCGCACACGAAGTTTCCCCGAACGCGCCGCATCTCGCAATAGCAAGGGCACTCCTCCCGCGGGCGAGCACCGCTTTGCCTGCCCACGCCACGGGACATCTCCGTGCCTACACATCCCGCAGCGCGGCTCTCCCTCCCCTCCAAACCCCGGCAGATGCCGCTGAGGTGGCCCCAGCAGGGGATGCCCCGCACACCCGGGGGCTCCGCCGGGAGCCACCCGCTGCCTCTCCCTCAGCCGGCTCCGCACCCCGCCTCGGACACCCCTCGGCGGCCAGGGCTCCCCCCTTTCCCTTTCTCCCTCACGCTTTCCCGCCCCTGCGCCGCGCCCCCCCCTCCCCCCCCGCGGCGCCCACGCGCGCCGCCCCCGCCCCGCCCCCGGCCCGCGCGGCGCCCCGGCGCGGGTGTTTGCTCAGGGCCGGGAGCGCGGCACGCGCCGGGCGCACGCACTTGCGACAACAAACCCGCGAGCGGCGGGGGCGGCGCGCGGGGCGGGGGCGGCGGGGGGAGGCGGGGCCGCCCGGCCGCCAGCGCGTGTGCGGCGGGGGGCGTGGGGGCTCGTGTGTGTGTGTGTGTGCGCGTGTGTGTGTGCGTGTGCGTGTGTGTGTGTTCGTGTGTGCGTGTCTGTCTGTCTGTCTGTGTGGGTGTGCGTGTCCCGCGCTGAAAAGGCGGCGGCGCTCCGCGCATCGCGGCCGGCAAAGCTGGGGAGCGTGGAAAGCGCAAGGTGCAGGGTGTGCGTGTGTGTGAGCGCGGGGGGTGGCGGGGGGAGGTTTGTCTCTGTGTGCGTGTGTGTGTGTGTGTGTGCGTGTGTGTGTAGGAGAAGGGGGGGCGAGCCCCGTCCGCCCCTTATAAGAGACACAATCCTCAGCCACTTTTTTGCAAAAGGGGCTTTGCAAAGCAGCCTGCGCACACGCGAGCGCCACGAGCCTCCCCGCGGCCGCCGCACGGAGGGCGAGAGGGAGGGGGGCGGGCAGAGCCGCCCGCCGTCCCCGCCGCCCGCCCGGCTCTGCCGTCCGCTCCCGTTAGTCTCCGCTTCCCCTTTCCCCTGTCGTCTGTTGCCTAGCTCATTATTTTTATTTTTTTTTTTTAATTTTAAATTGAACGGGCAAGTTTTTTCTTTTTCTCTTTTTCTATTTTTTCTTTCTCTTTTTTTTTTTGTTTGTTTGTTTGTTTGTTGGTTTTTTTTTTTGTGGTGGTGGTGGGGGGACGGGGACCGACCGTCACTCGGGCGCCCCCGCCTCGCAGGACTCCCCCTCGCCCATGGCCAGCGGCAGCCCCGCCAGGATGTCCAGCGCCGCCGGGCAGCCGCCCTTCCTGCAGCCGGCGTGCTTCTTCGCCGCGGCGGTGGCCGCCGCCGCCGCCCCTCCGGGGCCGCCCCCGGGAGCGCCACCGCCGCAGCTGAGCCCGGCGGGCGGACAGCCCTCCCCGGGCGGCAAGCCCTCGGCGCCGCGGGCGGCCAAGCGGCAGCGCTCGGCCTCGCCGGAGCTGATGCGCTGCAAGAGGAGGCTCAACTTCAGCGGCTTCGGGTACAGCCTGCCGCAGCAGCAGCCGGCCGCCGTGGCGCGGCGCAACGAGCGGGAGCGCAACCGGGTGAAGCTGGTGAACCTGGGCTTCGCCACGCTGCGGGAGCACGTCCCCAACGGCGCTGCCAACAAGAAGATGAGCAAGGTGGAGACGCTCCGCTCCGCCGTCGAGTACATCCGCGCCCTGCAGCAGCTGCTCGACGAGCATGACGCCGTCAGCGCCGCCTTCCAGGCAGGCGTCCTCTCGCCCACCATCTCGCCCAGCTACTCCCACGACATGAACTCCATGGCGGGCTCCCCCGTCTCCTCCTACTCCTCCGACGAGGGCTCCTACGACCCGCTCAGCCCCGAGGAGCAGGAGCTTCTAGACTTCACAAGCTGGTTCTGAAGGCCGGCCGCCCTCCCGGCAGGTGGGTAGGCGCCACGGAGGCCCGGGGAAGGCCGGGGGGGATAGCGGCGGGACGGACGCGGGGCGGCGGGGCCGCAGCCGCCGGGGCAGGGGGCGCAGCCGGGGCTGCCCCTCGGGCGGGCGCCGCTTGTCCCGCGGTACTTACGAGCGGCTCTGAGGCCCGACTCCCGGCACTGCTCCCGGCGCAGCTCTCATCTCTTCTCTCTTTTATTGTTACAGGACAGTTGCAAAAGGGAAAAGAAACAAACAAACAAAAACCAAAAAAAACCCACCCACACAAAAACAGGTCACACACAGAAAGACAAAAATCCACGCAGAAAAAGAACCTGTTGCGTTCCAGCTCCCCTGCCGTCGGAGGGCGGTGCGGGCACGTCTCTCGGCGGGCGGGCACAGCGCTGCGCGCCGCGGGGGCGGTCGGGGCGGTCGGCCCCGGCCCCGGAGACCGGCCGGCCTTTGCACTCCGTCGCACTGCCACGGACTGCGCCCCGGAGGAGCGGGTGTGTCCGGCGGGGGAGCCCCGGGAAGCGGGAAAGGGCGCTGCGCTCCTCGGCCGACGGAGGAGCTCTTCCTCTTCTTCCTCCTCCTCAGCAGAGAGGCGGCCCATCTTCGCACCTCGCCGCCGCCGCGGCCCTTCAGACACTGGCGTTCATCACCTGTGGACAAAGTTAGTTTCCCGATGTCTGTGGAGATGCTGAAGTTAAGCTATGCTGTACTCAAAGAAGTCCCTGGATCTCCGTCAACCCCCCATCTCCCCGTGCCTCTCCCTCCCCTCGATCCAAGCTTTTCCTCTTGTTTCCATCATAGAATGCTTCCAATCTTTTTTTTTGTGAATTTTTTTATGATGAGAAAATCTATTTGTATCTATCCTAACCCGGTTGGGGATATATTAAGCTATTTTTGTACATAAGAGAGAGAGAGATTTATAGAGGTTTTGTACAAATGGTTTAAAATGTGTATATCTTGATACTTTTTTTAATATGTAATGCTTATTACCTCCTCATGTTTAGACTCGTAGTCAACGTTACCTTACAATTGCCATTTTTGTATGTGGTTTTGTAAAGGACTTGGATTTCCTCCAGATGTACTTTAGCACCAATGTGTCTTACTTTATAGAAACTTCGTTAATGTATTAATAATGTCATTAAACAATGTTCAAAGTGAACAAAGTTTATGCAGCTATTGTCCAAACGCAAAACGGTAGCTATTTGTTTTCATATGCTGCCTTTTGGGAGAAAAAGGAAAAAAAAAGGAAAAAAAAAGAAAAACCAGACAAGCAACAAACACCCCCCCACACACACACCACTGCCTTTTCTTACTGTTTTATTACAAACTTACAAAGGTCCTGTATAACCCTATTTTATACAATCTAGTTTCATAATAAAACTTTTTTTTAATTAAAATGATCAGCTGCCTACCGCATGCAATTTTTTTTTTCTTTCTGCCATTGGCAACGATGAATGTAAGGACAGAATGTTAACCGATGTTATACCGGAGCTAAGTTGCATATGAAGTGTTTGTATCTGATGGATGTAACATATATATCTTTATCTCTATATAAAAATGCAAAGATCTAGCCCTATCACCATTGTTTTCTTGCCCTTCTGTGTTGCAAATGTGTATCCAAATCAAAAGGCGAGGGGATTATTAATGATTGCATTGTCCTTCCTGAAATCACTGCACATTAGAGAATTCCCCCAAAAGCCCAAGTCTTAAAAAAAGAGGGCGCTCCATCCTGCGTTTCGGCGGTGTGACCCTGTCCTCCTCCGCGCCTCTGACCCAACGGGGCAGGAAAACACGGGGGATGGCACAGCCGCCGCCACCCAAAACACGGGGCGCTGTGCTGCCTCTGCGAACACACTGGCTGGGGAAATAAAACCCTCGCAGAGAAGACGGGAAGCGAGAGGAGAAGGGAGATAAAATTAAATAAATAAATGAAGTAGTAGAAATCGGTGGAAGCGTAGAGGTATTAGTCTTTCCAAACTTGTTATTCTGCCTAAATAGCGTGATCTGCCTGTAAAAGTAGCCAATTACCAAGACTCAAAAAGAAATTGGACTCTTCCCCCTATTCTCCGCTTTTTTTTTTTTTTTTTTTTTTTTGGCTAGCCTGCTTGTTGTCAGTTAGCAAGGACGTGACCAGAATTCGCCTTCTTTTCGCCTGGCTCCTGCATCACTTGCAAATTCAGTTTGCGTGCACCAAGCCAAGCGGAAAGCAAAGCTCAAAATGCATTTAAAAAAAAAAAAAAAAAGAAAAAAAAAAGAAAACCAACAAAGACCGGGGAGAGCCAGTGTGCCGTACGGAGTTACAAAGAAAAAAAAAAAAAAACTAGTCCACTCCGCTACAAATGTGCCGTCGAGTTGCGAGGGATGCGCTATTTTTAAGAAAGAAGAGGAAAAAAACTTCGGTGGAGGAGCCCGGAATTTTTCCTCTGTGTGTGTGTGTGTAACTAGAGCTAGTTAAATATATAAGCATATATATGCACACATGAACGTTTATACGTGTGTATGTCAATGCACAGTCCTTCCTGCATTGCTTTAAAAGTATACACACGTTTGGCCCTTCGCCTCCTCCCCCCACGCCCTGAAATGATCAATACGTGATTTAATCGCGGGGGGAGGGGGAGGGGAGGGGGAGGACGGGACGGGAGGACGGGACACGCTGGGGTCATGAAATCTCTCATTACTTTAGCACAAACACTCATTGTTTTAACCGCTCGTGGAACTAATGTTTAGTTATGAAAATAATAACCGTTATATGCCGCCATCCGCTGTCCCTTTACAGCATCTCCCTTTTTATTTACCCACTTTTGCAAGTGTACAGATAAGGTATGCAAAGAAAGTGTAGCGAGTAATTTATAGCTATGAATATAACATTAGGATAATGTTTCATTCTGTTACAAAGGCGAAATTTCTCTTCCTTGTGTAGACAGGTGTTCTTTTTTGCTCACTTCTGAATAGTAAATATCCAGACTCATTAAACTAAAGGCAAAGTTACGCTGTTGTTCGCTACAATGTATAAGACAGGCTCAGAAATTCACCACCTCCTCCCTCCCTTTTCCCCTCAGCCCCCTCCAGAAAGAAAGAAAGAAAGAAAACACACACACACAATTTTACTGAAGATAGGGAAAGGGCAAAGCAGGATTGGGGTAAATCTCATTACATCTGCTCTAATCGCTTAGCAACACAAAGCCTTTTCTTGTATTAGCGCGGAGAGCCTTTCAGCGCTGCCTGACAGACAGTATTCAGTTAGCATTAGTAAACTCCATAAATCAGGGACTTCTTTGGGCGCAGTATAAGTTTTAGAACTACTCAGGATTTGGTGGGGGGTGGGGGAAGAGGAGCAGAGAGGGGATATGCGTGCAGACGAAGGTTGCTTGGCCACGGATTTATTAATTTATCTACCTGTGTGTTTATTTATTGTAACGCAGGAATAGCGTCCCGGTGACAAATGCCTCTGGCAGAGCGTGTGCCCTCCTCCAAGCCAAGACCCTCGGGTAGCAGGCGAGGCCCGCGGAGGTGGGCAGCGCTGCCCCCGCCTCCCCACACCACGGCCCGCGGGATCCGCCGAGCCGGGCGGGGGCCGGGGGAGCCTCCCCGCG